GTAACATTCGGTGGAATTTGTTTCATGTTTTGTATGAGTAGTCGTTGCTATATCATAAGATATGTCATTCTTTTGTAAATCTTTGCTCTGTGTAACGAAGACCAAAACTGCAAATCGGACAGTAGGGATGTCAGTGGGGAACCTCGATGTCTGCATTACAAATGATGGTAACTGTGCTGTCCGCCGCAACGCTTTTCACTGGAGATGGATGTAATCGTCTGGACGTGCCAAATGGAAAATAGTCTTCGAGTCAAGGAAATATGCGGACTCCAATCGCCCATTCGCCCCTGACCGCAGAGGCAGTGCAGATCTTGTGAGACCGCGCTTTGAGCCCGATAATCTCCTTCGGTGGGTACCAGACGGCGATGTTGACTAGTTTGAAGTTCGTGCCAGTTTGTAAAAACGGTTGCAAAGACCAGGCTATGCAGTGACACAGTTTGCGGGGTGATGTACGAGATGGGATGGAATGTGATGGTGCTTGACGACGCCATACGCGATCAGATCACTACGGATGTTCGCCGCAGCGCAGAGGTAGAATTCTTCAGACATCAGAACGGTAGCCTGCATTAGGTGATCATCCTTACGAAAGAATTGAAAGATGCTAAACGGTTGGCCGCTGATTCCGTCTATTGCAGATCGCTGGCCGGTGCTACTACCTTGAACTGCGTAGTCGAGTATCGTGACATCGATTGGATGCCTGGCGTGGAACAGGAGGCGAAAGAAGTGGCTGCATTCGATGCTGTCCCGCCCAGTTCAAAGAACTACTGAAAATACTATGCAGAGCTGATGGAGATGGTTGTTGCGAACTTGTCTCGTCGTGTCGAGTGAACATTTATGAATCACTGAAAGGACGAGGAAAATTAAGATGAGTTGCCAGAGCAGATGGTGTGTTGATGGTACCACCAACGAGGGCATGCTAAACGTCACTATCCCGATTGCAGATATGAGTCCTTACGATTAAATCGCAAGCCTATGGGCAAATCTGACACTCTGGGTACGCTTCGAGAATATTTAAATCGGGGAGACTGACCGAATCGAGGTTTGGCGCATTGCTGCTATCGCCAGAATTTCCAAGCTCTTTGCATGCATATATGGAAAGCTCAGCATAAAGTGTATGCTAATGTTGGCAAATATTTGGGGGAGGGAGATACAGACTCTGATTCTTGGGAACTGCACGTCAACACCGAAGGAAAGTGCTGGGGTTGGATCCAGTGATGATGTGCCATTAATCAAACAGATCACCGCCTCCGGTTCACATTGTGTCGGAA